CTCCAGGGACACAGGTGTATGTCTGATAGGTTCCGTATGTCCTAGTGATGATAGACCCTGTGTCCAGGCAGGAGTGTCAGAGTGTCTGTGGCTCACTTGTGATTGTGCCTATGCATGTGCTTCCCAGGCTGTGTGTGATGCAGTATAAAAGCCTGTCAGGTTCAGATTTACAAGCAGGTTCTACTTAACTTCTAAGAGGCGCATAATTATTGTTTACTAAATTCCTACATGTGAAAAACTGGAAAGCTTTACAATTATTTTTAGTGAGTTTGTGCAAGCTCCATACTGCGTGAAGTAGAAAGGTTGGGTTCAAGCAAACTTTTTAGCTTTATTGAGTAATAACTGAAATAAAATAAAATTCAGATATAAAAGTAATTTTTAAAGTTTATGTATTTTGAGAGAAGTGTGGGGGTGGGGCAGAGAGAGAGAATCCCAAGCCGACTCCGTGCTGTCAGCACAGAGCCTGATGTGGGGCACGATCTCACGAATCAGGAGATCATGGACCTGAGCTGAAATCAAGAACTGGATGCTAAACTAAGCCACCCAGGCGCCCCTTATATAAGTAAGTTTTGTTACATATACGTGTCCCTGAAACCATGGCTGTGATCATAATAAACTAGAAAGCTCAATCTTGAATGAGAAATAAGCAGTATAATTTCCCAATTTCTTAGATACCTATCCAAGACTGGAGCTCATTTCAGGGATAAAAGTGTTTCCATGTTATAAAATACAAATACCATCATATTTTACAAAGATGAAGCAGGCACTGCTGCCCAGTGGTAGAAATTATGGATACATTAACACATGGACAGGGGCACCTGGGTGGCTCAGTCGATTAAGCGTCCGACTAAGGCTCAGGTCATGATCTCATGGTTTGTGGGTTTGAGCCCCACATCGGGCTCTGTGCTGACAGCTAGCTCAGAGCCTGGAACCTGCTTCGGAATCTGTGTCTCCCTCTCTCTCTGACCCTCCCCTGCTCACGCTGTCTCTCTCAGAAATAAATGAAAAATTTTTTTAAAAATTTAAAAAAAAAACACATGGACAGTAACAAATGGTTATCTGCAAGGGAAGAATAAATCTTCTGTCAACTCCGTGTATGATAATCAACTTATTGAAGGTTTACATGTGAAGGAGGAAGCTAGAACACTCTTAGAAGTTACAGCCAGTTTTTATGACTTTAGAATATGGGGAGTTTTCTTACATCAAAAAAGGTAAGCTACAAAGGAAAAGAATGAGAAATAAAACTATTAAAGCTGATTACAGACCACTAAAATGTAGAATAAAGGATATTTCCACAATCTGGGAGACAATATTTGCAATACAAATAAATGGAAAAGATTCATGTCCAGACTATATGAAGAAATCAGAAGAAACCAATAAACATACAAATGAATTAAAAGTAAGAAAATAATAAATATTACGTAGACGAAGGACATAAAAAGCCCTCCGTATCATTGGTAATTAGTAAAAAGCAAGACACAATCACAGGGCTGTCCTGTTTCACGTGGACTAGATGGGGATCCTCAGCAATTGCAATGTGGTCACTCATCTTATGCAAGAATAGTAGGAGGGCCGATTTGCATATTCTGTTGGTTTTATCTGTAAATTTGAACTTATCCGTAGTCCCCCAACAGTAATTCTTCTCCAATGTATAGAGAATTCGTTATGAATTGTCACTTAGAAATTGAAACAGGAATGATAGGAGCAGCATTTTCCACAAGAGGAAAACGTAAACATGAAACAGCCGCAAAACCATAGCACCGGAATGGATGAGTGACTCCCAGCCACAGATACCTGCATGTGTGAAACAGACTGAGGCAGAGAAATCAGTGATGACCATGTTCCAGTTAATTCTATTACTATTTTTTGAAGAGCTCAAACAAAGGCAGAGTTAGACAAAACACTACTTAGTGGTGAAGAATAGATGGTAAAGCTTTAAAGAATAACTATAAAATTCCAAGTACTGGTCACATCCGGGAGTAGGAGGGAAATGAAGAAGGGTGGACACACTGGGGGTCCAGTATCTGCCCAAAGTCTATCAATGATTGTGCCCAATCTACTGAGTTGATACAATATTAATATATATATATATATATATTTTTTTTTAATTTTAGAAAGCATGAGGGGCACCTGGGTGGCTCAGTCGGTTAAGCATCCAACTTCAGCTCAGGTCATGATCTCACGGTTCGTAGGTTCGAGCCCTGCGTCAGGCTCTGTGCTGACAGGCAGCTCAGAGCCTGGAGCCTGTTTCAGATTCTGTCTCTCCCTCTCTGACCCTCCCCTGCTCACGTTCTCTCTCTCTCAAATAAATAAACATTTTAAAATTTTAACAAAAAATGAAAAAAAAATTTAGAGAGCATGCATGCAAGTAGGAGGGGAACAAAGGTGGGGGGGGGGAGAGAGAGAGAGAGAGAGAGAGAATCTCAAGCAGGCTCCATGCTCAGTGCAGAGCCACATGCAGGGCTGAATCCCACATCCCTAGGATCATGACCTGAGCTTTGCAAAATCAAGAGTCGGGCACTCAACCAACTGAGTCACCCAGGCACCTCTACAATATTAATATTTAAACTTAAAATAGGGGCCCCTGGGTGGCTCAGTTGGTTAAGCAACAACTCTTGATTTCAGTTCAGGTCATGATCTCATGGTAGTGAGATTGAGCCCCACGTTGGACTCTCTCTGTGCAGAGCTTAGGGTTCTCTCTCTCTCTCTCCCCACCTCTCAAAATAAATAAACTTAAAAAAATAAACAAGATAAAATATTTTAAGCATTGCTTTCAAAGTCTGAGAAACTACACTAAAAATTTTTTAAAGTATTTACATGTGGGAAAAAAGTACAGTTTAATAATACTTGTTTTACTGTATTATCTGACCACCACCTAGTTTTGGTTTCAGTCTATTTGGGAGGTATTCACAAGTCTTTTAACTGGGCCCATCTAACTTGCCCTTGTATTCATCTGAGTAGCAAGACTGAGTATGAGCCCAGGGTCTAGAGAGAACTGGCTGTGAGAACTTACTCAGTCGTATGCACCTTGATATGGAAAGAGCTGCAGGGACGCCTCGGTGGCTCAGTCACATAAGCGTTGGACTTCAGCTCAGCTCATGATCTCCTGGTGGTGGGTTCATGCCCCAGGTAGGGCTCTGTGCCGACAGCCTGGAGCCTGCGTCCGATTCTGTGCCTCCCTTTCTCCCCCTTCCTTGCTCTCTCTCAATCTCTCTCAAGAGTAAACATTGAGAAGAAAAAAAAAAAGAGCTGCAGGAATCTATTTCTAATTGAACAAAGTTGAAGCATATAACAATGTATAAACCATGTTACCTTAATATATCTAAGAGAATAAAAAAATGTAGTTGGAATTGCTTCTCCTTACATAAAGAAACATTGATCATATGTACAAAAACTAATAAAATTGGAATTTGAAGGAGCCAAGCGGACATGAATGGTAGAGGATGTGCTAGGAGAGTTTTAAGGAAGATTTCTAAATCTCGGGCTGATTTTTTTTATTTTTTTAAATGTTTTTATTTATTTCTAGGAGAGAGAGAGAGACAGCGTGAGCAGGGGAGGGTCAGAGAGAGAGGGAGTCACAGACTGAAACAGGCCCCAGGCTCTGAGCTGGCAGTCAGCACAGAGCCCGATGCGGGGCTCGAACCCACGAACCGCGAGATCATGACCTAAGCGAAAGTCGGACGCATAACCGACTAAGCCACCCAGGCGCCCCTCTTTTTTTTTTTTTTTAATGTTTTTATTTATTTCTGAGAGAGAGTGAGCAGGGGAGGGTCAGAGAGAGGAGACAGAGAATCTGAAGCAGCTCCAGGCTCTGAGCTATTAGTCAGCACAGAGCCTGAAGCGGGGCTCGAACCCAGGAACCATGAGATCATGACCTGAGCCGAAGTCTGACGCTCAACCGACTGAGCCCTCTAGGCGTCCCTCGGGCTGATTCTTAAAACTTGGTGTTCATTGGGGCGCCTGGGTGGCTTAGTCGGTTAAGCGTCCGACTTTCGCTTAGGTCATGATCTCGCGGTTCGTGGGTTCGAGCCCCGCGTCGGGCTCTGTGCTGACTGCCAGCTCAGAGCCTGGAGCCTGTTTCGGTCTGTGACTCCCTCTCTCTCTGACCCTCCCCTGCTCACGCTGTCTCTCTCTCTCTCTCTCTCCTAGAAATAAATAAAAACATTAAAAATAAAACCTTAGTGTTCATTTATAAACAAACACAAGTATATTAACCGTATTTTATTTTTAATACTTTATAAAACAAATGAGCAATATATTTTTAATGAGAAGCCTCTTTTTTACACGCTACTTCTCTGAGCACTAATATTTATGAAAGTGGGCAATACTTTTTGCAAACCATAAAATATGAATCTTTTCCACTTCGTAAATAAAATAAGCCATAGAGTGTCCTTCTACTGACTCTTAAACCGGGAGGTATTTTCAGAAAAGGGAAGCATATTAAATGCACTAGGAATTTTGACCTGAGCCCAAGTCAGACGCTCAACCGACTGAGCCACCCAGGTGCCCCCAAGTGTCTGTGTTCTTAAAGGGCACAGACCCATGGGTGACCTTGCAGTCCCAAGCCAACCTCTGACCCTGGAGGACACCAGGGCGTCCTGTCCTGTCTTGTCCCCGCCCAGCCGGGATTGGGCACCCCTCCTCCTCTGGGCAGAGAGGTATTGCTCTGTGGGGAAATGGGAGTCTGCAAACAGGAGGGGCCACAGACCTGCAGGAAGACGCCGAAGTCCTCCTTGGGGGAACTAGAGCTAGTTCTGCTTGTACAAAAGTGTCCCTACCCTGACCAGCCGGAAGGGGCCGGCCAGTCGTGTTCCAGTCGTGCTGAATTGTCCCATCAAGGAAGGGGACTAGCGCCGGCGTGGTGGATTATCCAAGTGGGAGGGCTGGGGCGGGTCTACAAGCTCTGTCCAATCAGGATCAGCGGGCTCAGAGCACCGTCCAATCAGAGCCGGGGGCGGGCTCCCAGCCGTGTGGGCTGGGCTCCGAGGCCGCCGCGGGACTAGTGCGCACCTGTCCCTTGCGGCGGCAGGTGTCCGGGTCAGCGTCTCGCCCACCTGCCTGGGCCACGGAGCCACGGGAGGCCGCGAGATGGTGAGTGCGCGGGGTCGGACCGAGGCCGGGAGGGGCTGGCTCGCACAGCCGGTACCGGCTGGGGGTGGCCGCGGCCCGCGTTCCTCTCCCCGGCCCCTACCCAGGTTCTGACCTGAGTGTCCGTCCTCGGCCAACGCGGAGTTGGGTCCCAGCGTCCTGTCCCTTCCCCGCGTGGGTCTGGGGTCGCAGGACTGCCTGGGGTGACCGGATGAGCACAGCTTGCTGTCCACCCGGGGGTCTGGGAATCTCAGTCCAGAGTTAGCTCCTCCTACAAGGGTCTTGGGGAGTCTGTGGAGACCTGCTTGGGGCCCTGGGCTCGGAGAGATCGTCTGGTATGTCCTGGACCCGCAGGTGACCCCGACCCCAGTTCTCATTTCCTGGAGGGACGTTAGCTGTCGGTTGACCAGATGCTGGTATTTGAAGGGAAAAGAAGAATGGTTCCTAACCCCTGGCTTCTCACCCTGAAGGATGAAAAACCCGAAGGACAACGAACACCCTCCCAGTGAGTTAGTGCAGCAACCTGCAAAGCAGAGTGCACTGCAGACCCGCAGAGGGACAGGAGCCAGCGCCCTTCGGGAGGGTGTTCGGCGAGCATTTCAGAGAACAGGTGTTGGGGGGGTGGATGTCCCACGTGGTAGGATGGCCGTGCTTGACCCTTGAGTCATCTATGTTCGGGTTCCCGTTCAGCACTGCCCCGCCCTGAGTTTGTCACCTTGCAAAGATTTATTTGGTCATTCGAGCCTGAGATTTTCCGGTAAATGTAAAATGCATTGAACTAATTGACTTTGAAAGATTACATGAAATAATTCCAAACGGAAAGGTTCAATTTCAGAAATAATAATAAAAAGATCTAGTCTTACATACCATTTGTTAAAAATTCTTTTGCCTCACTCCCCCCGCCCCTCGCATGTGTGGTTAAGTTTCTCACATCTGTTGTTTTCTTTTTGGTGATGACAAATGGAATTCCAGGGCTTAGACTTGAGGATGCTACTGGGGAAAAGAACCTAAGAGAAATAGAGAATGCTTCTCTCCCATTATAATTGCATAAAAATGAATGCATTTCCACGCACAAAGTTTGGCGTATTAATTGGTGACTTACAAAGACTCCCCAGAATGTCAGCTATTCTTTTGTTGTACAAGGTAGGGAATTTATGACTGTGGATAATTTTATTCTGGTATTTTTGGACTTCAGAGATTAATACCAAATCCCATTTCATGAAATTTGCACCACTTGTTGAGATGTGATTGTTTATAAAGCGTTTTATTCCCATGGAAATCATAAAGTGACATCTTTATTTTCTGAAAGGAAGAGATACTTGTGGGTTTTCTTCTTGAGTCCTTTAAAAAGTCACTAAACCCACTGTGAGTCTCCTCTCTCCTTGATCCATAAACACTGGGTTTGAGTGAATTTTTCCAGATTCCTCAAACGAGTTTGTGTCATTTAAATCAATAGGATCCATCAAGAGTGACGACCTGGAGTGGGGACAGGGGCCCTGCCCAGTGACTCCAAGCTAAGTAAGGCCTATCATGAGACAGCAGAGAGAGGGAACGAAATGGTTTTTTCTGGGGATTCTCTTCTGTGCCCAAGTCCCAGCCTGCCCCCTCCATCTGCAGGAGGAATGGGTGTATCAGGGAATGCTGCAGGGCACTGAGAAATGTGTGTGATTGGGGATGATGCCCCTTCTGAGATCGTGCTCGCCCCCGCCTTGGGACTGTTTCTAAGTAATAAGGAGCTTTGGGACGGACACGCACAGAGGTGGTGCACTTAGAGTGTAGCTTGTGCAAACTGAGAAAGTCTGTGAAGGTCAGACTTAGAGAAAGACTTCTTTCGGGGGTCTGTCTCTTCGAGAAACAGTTATGGATTTGGGGGTTCATTTGGGTCAGAACTTAAAACTGGCTCCAGTTAGTGAGGATTGAATCCTGGAGAGGAGCATTTCCACACTGCAGGGATGGGGAGAGGAGGGCGTGTTGAGCTTCAGAGTTCATCCCTGTGTCTGCTCTGGTCACCCTGCCTCCATCACTGGGGACGGATCCACCAGAAGCTGATGTATCTGCAGTGAGGTTCTGGACCCCAAGCCTGTGGGTGTGTTTCACCTCCTGACCCTGGCGGGTGTTCTTTGGAAATGGTAGATAAGTCAGTGGCTTTACCTGAGCCAATGGAAATGTTTGATTTTTGTTGCTTCTAATTTCTGTATCGACTGTTGCTGCCATATAACTCCAGTCTCCCTAAGAATTTGGCCTTTTTAACTCCCTGTTTGAGTGTTGGAAGACTTTTATTTTCTTCAGTAAGTAGAAATGGATTGACAGATGAAATAGAAGAGAAGAGAATCTGGAAACATACAGAATTTTTCTTCCTTTTTTTTGACAAGTGGACTTCCAGATAGGAGATGGGTGTATTTAAACTCTCAGGTTAATTTTTCACTTTTCCATAATATTTTTTTTGTATAAGTGATTGTCTCTGTGGAGTTATGAAGTTTAAAATGCACTGTTCCTAAGACAATTCTTATTTTATGCGATATGAAGAAAATTACCTTTGGATACGCAAATCCTTGAAAATCCTTGTGCATCGAATTGGTTAGGTCCAAACCCCTAATGTTTGAAGTATTCTACTCATTTCTGAAAACAGTTCCTAGTCTGAGACAGAGTGGAAGTATAAACAATGATGGTGTCCCCTGTCATTTTAGACATAAAGATGTTTCACATATTTTCATAAACTTTAATTTCCAGGGGACTGTCAACCTTAAAAATAAGTCAGTTATTTTATCAGCAAAACTGGATTTCTTTGGGAATATAGAGAATTGCAGTTTGGGATGTGCAAGGGCAGCAAACCCATGAGCACATCCAACAAACAAAAGAAGAACATTATTTTATGGAGAAGGAAGAGACGGGGGGGGGGGCGGGGGGAGGGATTGCTTTGGACAAAAGTCCATTGGAGAAAGGCAAGAGTTCGGGGTGATTACAGCTTCTCTGAGTTGTTGATGACAGTTTTTCTCGAATTACAGGGGTAGTCCATTTCTTTTCATTTTCCATAAAGGATCCTCCATTCTTATTTTTTATTTCATTTTTAAAATTTTTGTAAGTAGGCTCTATGCTCAACGTGAGGCTCAGACTCATAATCCCAAGATCAAGAGTCTCATGCCGGACTGACTGAGCCCGCCAGGTGCCCTAGGGATAGTCAATATCTCATAGGAGATGCACTGGACATCTTTTTCTGTCAGGGCCTGTAATGGACAGTTCTTCCTGTAATTGAGGAAGTTTGAAGTTTGAAGTATTCTACTCATTTTTTAGTAGAATTGAGGTGGAATGGCGTGGTTACCCCTGCCGCTCTCCTGACTCCATTTTATCTTTTGTTTTTTTCTTTTGCATTTTTTTCCCCATTTATCATTATTGTTTTTCTCCCAACTCCATTTTAGTGAGGTTCGCTTTATTAATTTTCACAGGATTAAATCTTAACGTAATTTCTTATATGGAAAAGTGGGTCCCAAATAAAACTAAAAACCACTAAAAAGCAAAATATAATTTTTATACATTTCTCTTTCCGTAAAGGAAATAATGTATGCAAAGTTTAAAAAATCTGCAACACATTGAAAATCTAACTTAAGACAATCCCCTGCCAGCGCATCGTGGTCCATGCCAGTCCTACCCCAGCCACCCTCAGACAACTAGTTTTAATAATTTCTTGTACATTTTTATCAGTGTTTCTTTCTATAGAAACAAGCAATTAAAAGTGCAAGAGGTTTTTTTTGTTATAAGAAAGGTAACATGATGTACACAGGGCAACACATTTTTCATATTTATTCTATTGATAATTCTGCAGACCTTTTCATAGCAATGACAGATGTCTTTGATTTTCAAATGTATGCAACTAGTTCTTTCTAATTAGGCAACTGATCTGCATCTACTATTTTTCTACCTAAGTTTGTTAATCAAACTTTTTCATGTTACATGGTAAGCAAACATACAAAAATTATATAAGTTTCCAACCTTAATTGATGCTTTAAATTTTATGGTGAAATCTATCATATTTAGAATGCATAACAAAGTTTTATTAGACTTTTAAACTAATCATGGTATAAACATCCATAGACTCTCCATCTAGATTCATAAATGGGCCTTGAGTAGAGTCTCCTGACATGACCCTCCCTAAACTCATGACCGTCTTGTCCCATCGATAACTACTGTTTGCTTCTTTGCTTAATCTTTGTACCTTTACCTTTAATGTTTTTGTTTTTTGTTTTGTTTTTTACTAAGCAGTGTTCTGCTTAGCTTTACCTCTTCAGGAGGTAAATATTAATTAATATTATTAACGGAATTATGCTGAAAAGGCTTCCCTAGGGTTCTTTGCCTCAGTCTTTTTCATACATGCTGCTGTCTGAAGCTGCTGCCATTCTTCCATTCCAGTGCTTATGGGACTTGGGTTTTTCAAGTTTGTTTTCTTGCTTTTGTGACGAATGCCACTCCTGTGAGTCTTGTTTCAGCGTACGAGTGCAAATGCATAGTACATTTACCACATACTGGAGGAAAATCTCTAGACTGTAGATCATGGGCAAATTCAAATTTATTAAGAAATTCCAATGGATGGGGCACCTGGGTGGCTTAGTCGGTTAAGCGTCCGACTTTCGCTTAGGTCATGATCTCGTGGTTTGTGGGTTCGAGCCTTTTGCCTTTTGCAATTCTGCTTATTTGCTTATTTTCAGGAGGCACCGGATTGGATCTTTACTATAACGTTGACCAGGAGTGAGGCAAGGGGAACTAGTTTTATACATTTTTTGGTAGAAAACTTTATCCCATTTATATATTCCTTCTTTAAAAGTTTATTTATTTTGAGAGAGAACATGTGGCCACATGCACACGCAAGCAGGGGAGGGAGAGAGAGGGAGAGAGAGAATCCCAGGCAGGCCCCCCGCTGTCAGTGCAGAGCTCAACGCGGGGCTCAAACTCACGAACTATGAGGTCAGGACCTGAGCTGCGATCAAGACTCAGATGCTTAACTGACTGAGCCACCCAGGGGCCCCTATATATTCCTTTTTGAATAATCTTTTCCCCCCGCTATGCCCTTTATTGGGCCATGCATCTGACCATTGGTTCCCCCGTCGTATGAGTTTTTTTCATGTGTTTCTGTTGAATACTATAAAATCATTTTCTATAATTCTTTTTTTTCATGTTTTTTATTAATTTCCGAGAGAGGGAGAGAGAGACAGCGTGAGCAGGGGAGTGCAGGGGTCTGGCCTCTGCAGGCCAGGGGTGACCCAGAGGGGGAGGGTGGGAGTCGGCGAAGAAGACACGGACCCAGCCTCTTCGGGGGACTGCTCACATTTATTTTTCAGCTTAGGGTTTTTATAGCAAATCCAAACAATCATGCTTAAACAATTTACATTTTCTGAAAACAGTCATGGGATTTAATGTTTCTAAATGTTCTTAGCAACAGTAGTATCACAGTACATAATTTCCACTTAAATTGGTAAAATTTAACCAGGTAGTCATAACAAAGTTTTACATATTTTTTTCTACACATGGCAGGAAATAAGTGAAGCATATAACCAGAATGCATGAAAACAAAGTGCCCTTTGATTGTTTAAGTTCAGCGGGCATGCAAGCACCAGATACACGTGCACCCGCGGTTATAGGTGATAGACTCTCACAACCCCTTACTAAGAAAGAACTATGTCAACATTTATCATAGATGACGTGTGGAAATGTTTTACGTGGATCAACTAGAGTTTGGTCTCTGCATTTACTGGTCTCATTCTTTGGCCAGAACAATCCATAAGTTGCCTCACAGGCTTGAGGTCAGCAGGCAAATATTTCTTGTTTTTGTCTCTGCTTATGGCATAATATATATTCTTACTGGCAATTAGACCCATACAAGGAAATTGAATTCTAGGTCTCTTATAGACCCCATGCATACCGGACTGTCTCCAATTTTGCTAATTGCTACAATATTATAGACAACATCTGATTGAGGGGGCAGACATGATATTTAGGTACATCTCATTTTGGAGGAGGAGGGGGAACTTTGGGCGATTCTGGTTTCATATTAACCCTAGAATAGACTAACAGCGGAAGTGACAGTAAAAGGCACAGACTAAACAGAGAGAAGGAATTCTTCAGGGGGTTCTTCTCGCTGCCTTGCAGTCTTTTCCCACAGGTTTTCCCTGGGCCTTACCGTCAGGGATGACCTGTGCAGTTTCGGTCTCCGGCAGGGGAGGGTCAGAGAGAGAGAGGGAGATACAGAATTGGAAGCAGGCTTCGGGCTCTGAGCTGTCAGCAAAGAGCCCAACACGGGGCTCGAACCCATGAACTGTGTGATCATAACCTGAGCTGAAGTCGGACGCTTTGCTGACTGAGCCACCCAGGTGCCCCTCATTTTCTACAATTCTTAAGATGATTTCTGGTAAATTGTATTAATTGATTATAGTGTTTCATTGTAAAGCATAACATACATGCAGAAAAGCACATAAGACATATATATGAAATAGAAATAATAAAAAAATAAACACCTATGAAGTAAAATCCAGCCCTAGATCTAAAACGTGTTTGACATCAGACACCCCCCTGGATATGATTCCCGGTGATCCTCCTCACTCTCAGGATGTAACCAATATCTTGAATTGTGTGATGGTAATATCCATTCTTTTATCACCTGTGTATGCATCATTAAATAAAGATACTCTAATTTTGCACATTCCACATTGCATGTAAATTGAATCACAGTGTATATTGGTATTTTAGGCCAGATTTCTTTTGTTTCAAGTTACTTCATGGTCTTCTGTGTGGTAATAATAGCTCATTAACCTTAATTGCTCTCTTGTATTCACTAGCAAGGATATGCCTATTTATTATTATTATTATTTATCTCTTGTATTCATTTGCAAGGATATACCTATTATTTATTAACTCTATTACTAGTGGCTACTTGGGTGTTTTCAAATTTTTGCCATTCTAACCAGTGCTCCTAAAAACATTATTATACATGCATCCAGTTGGATGTCTTACTGTATCCCCATCTTAGTATGGCCGGTCATGAACTTCTCATCCTCTCCCCCAAGAACTTAATCTAAATATGGCCTCTGCATCTCAGTTGATGGAAACTCCATTATACCAGTGTTGTTGTTGTTGTTGTTTAGATTTTTTTAATGTTTTATTTTCTTGAGAGCGTGCAAGTGGGGGAGGGGCAGAGAGAGGCAGACAGCAGATCTGTAGCAGGCCCCATGCTGACAGAAGTGAGCCCGATGTGGGGCTTGAACTTAGGAACCATGAGATCATGACCTGAGCTGAAGTGAGACTCTTAACTGACTGAACCACCCAGGCGCCCCCATTATTCCAGTTTTTATTGTGAGAAATAATCAGAGTCATCAACTCCTCTCATTCTGTCTTGCCCCAACTTCAGTCCGTCATGAATCTGTAGCCCTTTCCTATATTTTCCCTGCATATCCCACTGTGAGCACCCAGGCTGACCCACCTTCCTCTCACCTGGTTATGGCTTTATATTCTTAACAGGTGTCCTGGTCTCTCCATCCATCCGCCATAGTCTAGTCTCAGCACAAGTGATGGACCATTACAACTATCAGAGGAAACCACTCTTCTGTGCAAAAGCCTGAAGTAGCTCCACATTTCTCACAGAATCAAAACTGACTAGTTCCCCACAAGTTGATGGGCCTCACCTCCCATCACTCTCCACCATCCTTTACTGTTCCTCCCCGTCTCACTTTGCTCCAGTCTCTGGCTCTGTGTCTTAGTCCCATTTAGGCTGCTGTAACAAAATACCAAAGAGTGGCTTATAAACAACAGAAATGTATTTCTCACAGATGTGGAGGCTGGGAAGTCCAAGATCAAGGCACCAGCAATCTTGGGTGGAAAGAGCTTTTTTTGGCATCTTAGAACCTCAGTGTGCGTGTATGTGCATGCGTGTGTGTGTGTGCGTGCGTGTGCGTGCATGTGTGTGTATGTGTGTGTGTACTCAAAATTAATACATACCAACACCAAGGTTTATGAATGTGGGTATTATGGAAAGTTCTCATGTCTTCTTCCTTCCTTCTGAGTTCTCTTGTCTTCTTTCCTCCTCTCCCTCAATACTTCTTTCTCAAAGGTACATAAAGGAAGAAAGAGCTGATTCTGTGATAAATGATATACATAAATAATATGCATATAAGTTAATATTAGCATTTTTCCAGAAAAAAAAATGTCTTCATGCACCTAGGTGGGCATGTCTACTTTGAATTGCCTATAGTACAGCAAGACACAGGGGCGGCTGGCCCACACTGCAGGTTGGGTTTCCACCTTGGGCCTCTCGTTCTTGGTGAAGGGAACTGAAGGAAAAACTCCTTCAGTGTGTTTTTGTTTATTAGAACCCCATTTAGATTTGAACTTGCGGTCTGTGAGGTGCTGAGCAGTGTGGTGGCCAATAAGGAAAGAGATGAAATAGTTTTTGTCACAAGGAATTGGTAGCCATAAAATGGAAATATTTGTTTCATTTGTATAGCATTTCTCTAATTTCCCCAATGTGTTTTGGACATTTCTAGACTCTGTGAAAAGGCAGGAATCACCCAGGAAGGGTCACAGTAAACATGGAGAGAGAGAGAGAGAGAGAAATTCAATGCATTAGTGGCATGTTAAGATCATGACACAGAACGTGAGTGTGGATATAGATTAGATGTGAGGAGACCATAGAATCTTGTTGGAACTTCCTGTGAATTTGAAACTTCCCCTCTGCTGTTAGTATCACCCATTCTCCTACACTTGTGTTTTAGGACGCGGTGGTCTTTGAGGATGTGGTTGTGGACTTTACCCAAGAGGAGTGGGCCCTGCTGAAACCTGCTCAGAAGAAGCTCTACAAAGATGTGATGCTAGAAACCTTCAGGAACCTGGTCACAGTAGGTAAGGGTGGCATCAGTCCTTCACTTAGTTATTTACATAATAACTATTTCTTATTCATGAAGCCTATTTCAGTACTTGGAACGCAGAAGGAAGACACATTGGAAAAATAAGACAGGAATGATCATAGCTGTCACAGACCTAGAATCTACCAGTTTCTCTCAGTGACAGTAACAATCTATATATTAACCTGTGTTTTTCTTTCTTTCTGGTTCAAAAGACTTAGCATTCTTCAGTGTCATCAGTATGTGCATATCCCCATGGGTCACTTTGAGAGCACGGAGAAGTTTGTTGTTTGAAACTTTTGTTTTTTCTGTGCATATTAAATTGCCTACCATTTTGACCTCTTGTGCTTTATTTTAAGTTTATTTATTTTGAGATGGCACATGCGTGAGCAGGGAGAGGCAGTGAGAGAGGGAGAGAGAGAATCTCAAGCAGGCGCCACACTGACAGTGTTCTCGGTCACTGACAGTGTGGAGCCCAATGTGGGGTGTGAACTCATGAAATGTGAGATCATGACCTGAGCTGAAATCAAGAGTCAGATGCTTGACCAACTGAGCTACTCAGGCACCCCTCTTGCGCCCCTTAATAATGACATTTTGAAACAGCTGAACTCCTGAATGTATTTCTTTGCTCACAGGGGCCTTTCTCATAAGATTTGTTCACTGTTTTGTTTTAGATGATGAGACTCAACTTAGAACCAATGGGTCCATTTCTCAGAAGGATATTTTTGGAGAAAAATTATCCAATGAGCAGAAAATAGCAAGGTTCACAAAAAATGATCCCTGGGCCTCCCTTTTTGGAGAAATTTGGGAGGACCAATGCATTGAAGCTGAGAACAACTGGGGGAGACATTTGAGGTGAGTTGCACCTGGGAGAAAATGCAACATCCGGTAGAGAATCTTACTATTTCATGAAATTAAAAAACAAAAAGAAAAAGCCCATGAACTTCGCTCCAGATTTGTTTATTCACAAATCATTCCTTTTTTTTCCCCCCTTCATGTGACTCAGACACTAAGCGTTTGAAAGGTAATTTGGCGGAAAACAATGACCAGGGAACCCAACATATGAAAACTGAGAGTGTAGTAACTGCCTGTGCATAAGCCTGTTCTCAAAGCATTTAGCTTATTCCACTTTGAAATAATTCAGACAGGACAGAAAACCTATATTTATACAGAAAAATGATACAAATGTAATCCTAGAGCTCATTAACAAATATTAATAAATAATACAAAAACCATTAATAATGTGTTCCTTCCCCCCCCCTTTTTTTTAGCAGAAATCATATGATGGGGAGACTCTGTGAAAGTAGCAAAGGGAAAACATGTGGAGAAACCATCAACCATATTCCAAATCTTAAGCTGCACAAGAAAATACCCACTGGAATAAAACTGTATGAATGCAGTCAGTGTGGAAAAGTCTTCAGGCATCGTTCATCCCTTAAGAGGCACAAAAGAAATCATACTGGATGCAAACTATATCAGTGTGAGGAATGTGGGAAAGCCTTCAGTTGTTCCTCATACCTGAGGAATCATGTGAAAACTCACAGTGGAGAGAAACCCTATGCATGTAAACTTTGTGGAAAAACATTTATTCGTCCTCATTCCCTCACTGGACATATAAGGAGTCACACTGGAGAGAAACCTTATGAATGTAAGGAATGTGGGAAAGCCTTCAGTTGTCCTAAATCCTTTCGAGTACACGTGATAATGCATAATGGTGGGAAGCCCTATGAATGTAAGCAATGTGGGAAAGGCTTTAGCTGTCCCAAATCCTTCCGAGTACATATGATAATGCACACAGGAGAGAAACCCTATGAATGTAAGCAGTGTGGAAAAGCCTACTGTTGGCTCACATCCTTTCAGAGACATGTGAGAATTCACAATGGAGAGAAACCCTATAAATGTGAACAATGTGGGAAAGCATTTGGTTGGCCCTCGTCCTTACACAAACACGTCAGAATGCACACTGGAGAGAAACTTGTAAACATAAGCAATGTGGGAAGGCCTTCAGTTGGCCCTCATCCTTCCAAAAATGTAAGAATGCAGACTGGAGAGAAACGTTATAAGTGCGAAAAATGTGGGAAAGTATTTGGTTGGTCTTCATCCTTACACAAACATAACAGAAAGCACACCGGAGAGAAACCCGTAAATGCAGGCAATGTGGGAAAGCTCTCAGTTGGCCCTCATCCTTCCAAAAATGTAAGAATGCAGACTAGGGAAAAACCCTTTAAGTGTGAAAAATGTGGGAAAGCATTCAGTTGGTCCTCATCCTTACAAAAGCATGTCAAAAAACACAGTGGAGAGAAGCCTCTAAATGTAACCAATGTGGGAAAGCCTTCAATTGGCCCCAATCCTTCTAAAACCATAAGGATGCAGAGTAGAGAGAAATCTCATAAATGTGAAAAATGTGGGAAAACTTTCAGTTGTCCCAAATTGTTTCATAGTCATGTGAGAACTCACAGTCAAAAGAAAGTTTGTAACTATAAGTGAGAAAACCTAATGCATATTAATTCATGTAGTTTGGAAAATCCACACAAGAACAAAAATATTGTAGTAGTTACACAGTATTGTTCAGTATCTCATCCTTAATGTGGACCTCTAGCAAGTGAATTTCCATGTCTTTTTCAACTAAACACTGAGATGAGAATTCTCAAATATTATAAGTACATCTACATAGTATAGTACATGAGTTTTTGATATACTGTAGGTTTTTTTTCCGCTTTATGAATTCAGTTAATATTTCTGGATCCATTTTGCAATGCGATTCACCCATGGGTGATTTGATGTGTTTAAAATATGCATTAGGTTTGATTTTATATAGTTTTTATATTGTTCTGTAAGTATGTATCTGTAAGATACATTCCATCTTACTATCTTCCTGAGAGAACGTACAACTTTTAAAGCTGACACTACTTTACTTACATCATATATGTTCTCAACACTTTTTTTTTGCCAGAGGATCATTATTCCATTATTCCATTTTGCTGGCTTGCAAATTTGTGAATATGTAATTGGGTAGAAATTTGTAAGTATGCAGAGATCTTGAAAGAGTATAGTTTCATATGAACTGTTACTTCCATCTGTTGCTGCATGCTCTTTATCCTAGTTAGCTTCTGGTTAGGAAGTGGACAGTACATTTGGATTAAGGGAGACAGTGAAGGAGGTGGAGATGGTTCTGTTGGAATGTGTTCTCACCACAGGAAGAACGAGGAACTACATTTCCCAGGATGCTTTCTCTATATGGTTCCATGATAGAATTCTGTAATAGCCCAGTTTGCATGAGATTTGAAGAAGCAATTTTCAGTTTATTGAGCCACCACTCTATAGGGAGACAGATGCATAGGGACTCTGTGGGTACCATCTCCAGCTTATTTTCCTGATTACTGGCCTGGCCAATCAAAAGTACCTTCAAAACAAATACCAACTGCATGACTTCCACTTGGTCAGAGGCGTAGGCTTTTACAAACACCCTACGACCAGCTTTTCCATCGTGGATACACATCCACGTGACCCCCTTTTCTCTAGATCTTAACATATTCGTATAAAGTCTGATTTGTATGGTGAACATCTCATTCTCTTAATACTTCTCATGCTTCTGCATTTCTGCTTCCACTACAGATACAATCGTGCATCTGTAAGGACGTATGGGACTGTGTTTCCCTACAGCATCATTGAGCAGCTGCCCTGACCCACTATTCCTATGAAATAAAATCAGAATTACTGACATATTGTGTAGACTGTGTGGGTTTTCTGTTACAAAGCACTAAACACAATCCCTCGGGGTGTGTTCAATTATTAGGATTGATTATATATGATTAGACACAATGTATATTTTGTTTGTTGAACAAACTGTGTTTATGAGAAATATTCTATAATCATTTGAGTTGTGTACTACATAAATGTATAAAATGTTTGAGAAATGTTCTATTAACTTGTGTTCTAAAATGTATACTAATAAATATCAATCTCTTTAATTTACCAAAGAGATATGAAAATGTTGCAACTATGAGTTCTCAAATTTTGTAACCTTGTGAATTTACGAATTGTACATTTTGAGTCAATATTACCAGGTGCATACAAATTTAGGCAGTTTTCGTCCTAGTAAATTTTATTTTGTATATTGTTACAATATTATCAATGTAACTTCTTATTCACAATAGCAAAACCTTAAGTAATTGCTTTACCAATTTAAGTAATAAGTCTAGCAATATAAAAAGATTCTCATGAGAAAATATCTTAAACTTTATTGGATGATATAAAAAGCAGAGTGAAGTAAAATATAAAGCATGACTAGGAAGATAACAGGCACACAGACTGAAGGATAGAGGCCTTGGTGAATGAGGATCTCATCGATTCATGTACTTACACCACCTACGATGCCTCAGATACTTTCTGGAACTTCTGCAAAGTGTTTGTAAATGGTGGGTGGTGATACAGAAACAATCCTCCACTCCTGGAGTTAACAGTGATTAGTTCCCATAAAATTGAAGATATAGTTCGGCCTCATTTTCACAATGGTTAAACATTTTAGGGTGTGTTATACATGCTCATGAGACTGGACACTGGTATTTGGGACCAGACAGTTTCTACTGACTTGAAGTGGTGTATGGGTGTTTGTATTTAACATCTTCGTGAAAGAATTCGAAATTGCCTCATATATTGGTTATTACCGTTTTGGGGCTCCTGGACATTGAATGAGATTTGTTCTGAGGAAAATCAGAGTTCCTCATAGTTTTAGGAAGCTTCACGTTATCCTCATTGTTCTAATCCCTCAAGTCTTCTCTTATGAGCAGAGCGACAGCAATGCAGGTCCACTATGAGTTCCTAATAGAAGCAGGGAGAAGAGGTAGGGATGGTAAAAGGGAAAACTATCCAAGGAATAAGTTAAGTGAGCTGCAGACTGGGGGTATCATATGAGCAACATCCCAATTTATTAGACATCGTCAAATAGGGAAAACTGTAATGACCACTTATAAGAGGAGAATGTGTAAGCTTTTGTTTTTATAGTCCAAAAAGCCCCAAATGCCCACTTTGCTCTTTACAAGTATTGTTTCCACATGCTCAGATTTCCAATACATATTAGGAAAGAAAAATAGAACATTACTGTCTTTAAAAGGCAAATGAGGTCCAGTATTTGTTCATTTCTCCACGTTAACTCTTGTTTTCATAGCACAGAGCAGAGATTAGTGTCATTTCATAATCCTTGTTACCACATTCAATCACTTCTCCCAGCATCGTTCCAATTGTAACAGTGACACCAGTCAGGCAATGGAAGCAGGGTCCTGCTTAAGCTTACGTACCCAATAAGGATAATGGAATCTCTCTATTTTGAAGACCTGATGTGTGCCACCAGCTGTATTGTGTACTGTTGAAAATTTGAAATCTCAAAACTCTGGAGGACAAGTATAATTACTCAATTTTCAAACTGTAACTTTACATTTTAAACACAGTATTCAAAAGAATATATTTCTATGCCATTCTGGAAAAAGTGAAGGTACAGGGAACTAGAACAGATGAGAGGGTTAAGAGTGGGGGGAAGTGTGACTAGGAGGTTGTTTTGTCGGAGGCAGGAATGGAGTGTTTTGTATTTTAACTATGCTGGTACAGGTATGAATTTATGAAACCCCCTAGAACTATACTTACAATGGCTAATTTTACTCTTTTAAAATAAATTATTAGAGGGGCACCTGGGTGGCTTAGTCGGTTAAGCGACCGACTTTCGCTTAGGTCATGATCTCACGGTTCGTGGGTTCGAGCCCCGCGTCGGGCTCTGTGCTGATTGCCAGCTCAGAGCCTGGAGCCTGTTTCAGTCTGTGACTCCCTCTCTCTCTGACCCTCCCCTGCTCACGCTGTCTCTCTCTCTCTCCTAGAAATAAATAAAAAAAAATATATTAAAAAAAAATAAATAAAATAAAATTAGAAAACAAAGACCTAAAACTATCTTATGAACTAAAGGGAAATCTTAACTCACCTCGACTTTTAGGTGTGCAAAGACAGTGCTTTCCACCTCCTAAAGACTTGTGACCCATCAGGCCTTGCTTGGAATCTCATATGAAGTTAGAAAACACTCCAGGGTCACACTTGTCCTCACCTCAGTCACCTTGCCTGAAGGAAGTGAGAGGAAACCAGCAGTACGTCTCTAGGTTTACATCAGGTTCCTGGGGCCAGAACTCTGGGAATGCTGTGGCTTGAAATTTAATTTTAAAAAATGTTTAATGTGTTATTTATTTCTGAGAGAGAGGGAGAGACAGTGTGAGCAGGGGAGGGACAGAGAGAGGAGACACAGAATCTGAAGCAGCTCCAGGCTCTGAGCTGTCAGCACAAAGCCCGACGCGGGGCTCGAACCCACGAACCATGAGATCATGACTTGAGCCGAATTCGGACGCTTAACCGACTGAGCCCCCCCAGGCGCCCCTGTGGCTTGAAATTTAAAAGGAAGTCCACAGCGTTCTCAAGGGGATCCTCCCGGGGGGAAGTCGGCCTGGCGGCGTTTCCTAATCCTTGGGCACATGCATAGGGTCCTGTCCTGAGGCCACCTGCACTCCGTTCAGACCACCTGACCTCTCGGGGACAAACCCTACTCTGACCCGCACTGCTGCAAACCTGGCTACTGACGCACACGGGAGGGCGTTCCACTAGTCGTTCCTCCGCAGAAACGCCACATGGCTGCAGTGGGAGGCTCCACAGGAAGCACTGTGACACAGGGACCCACATTCTTCCTCCAGAGCCATGCCTCGCACACGAACCTGCAGCCAAACTCGACTTGGGACGGGTCACAGCCTCAACACCCACCACGCGTGTGACGCGCCAGGGAGGACGTGATGCGCACCGCCACGCGCAGGCGCACTCATGCCCACGCTGCCGCTGTCGCTCGCCTCTGCCTCGCCTAGCGTGCGGCGCAGCGCCGCGCATGCGCCGTCAACACCCGGGTTTTCTCAGATCCAAACTCCCTGACACGTCCAGGTGGAACCTGTAGAACCGTTTCCGCCGCACACCGTGGTCACTTCCTGGCCGCAAAGCACCGTGGATCCCACGTCGTGGTGGTGGTGGTGGGGGGGGGAATGTAGCTTCCAGAGTAAGGGCCTCCTCAGACATTATCATCCCCAGCTCGAGAGTGCTCCCAGCATGCAACGCGGATGCAGTCACATGGGTGTCGCGGAGACACCTGGGAGTTCTGAGTTGGCTGTCCTGCGCAGGCGCAGGCTCCTGCCGCGGAGACCTCTCCTGTGGCGGAGCTGAGACCGCAGGTCTTCTGGAAGCTGGAGAATGCGCAGGCTCCGTCTGGCTGGGGCTGGGGCGCTGGGCCACCAGGTCCCGCCCCCATGCCCACCTGAAAGCTTCCGGTTGGCTCCTGCTTCCCAGAAGTCGTTCCCTGTCGCCCGGAGGCTGGATGTCCGAGCTTGAAAGACGTCGGCCTTGTCCTGGCGGGATGCGGCGGGTGCGCTGGCCTGCGACCGCGGACAGGAAAGGCAGCAGGCCCAGCGGCGGGAGCCGTGCCCGGGACGACCGGGCGGCGCTGCGAACGTGGAGGAGAGCGCCGCCCTGGCCCGCGGGTGGTCCGGGGGTGAGGCGCCCTCTGCGGGCAGAAACCCACAGCCCAGCGAGGCGCTGGAGCGGGTGGGCCCTTGACCCTCTGGGGTCGCAGGCTCTGGGTGTCAGGTTATGAAGACGCGGGGCAAGGTTGGGTGCAGGCGGGCTTTGTGCACGATGAAGGTTCTGTAGCGTGGCTCCCCTTTTCCAGCAGGGGAATTATTTGGGATTATTTGGGAATTCCTTTGGGGAACCAGCGGAGCCTGTACTGTTTGGCATGGGGAACATAACCCTTGGATGTGAGTGAGCCCAAGAGCGTGTTTGGATAAATGGGAACACCCCCACCCCATGGGAAGGTGTGTGTATCTGTATGAACCTTGCCTTTTAATAAACATTTAGGCTTTGTACTGGGTGCTGTTGATTTAACAGTGATCGCGTCAGAATGATGATCTCTTCCCACTTGGAGCTGAAATTCTACGGGGGAGAATGAAGGATACATAAGGAAAGTGTAAGGTTTTGGAAAGTGGTCAAGTCCTAAAGGGAAAAAGAAAGGGAAGGGTGCAGAGGCTCTGGGCGGTGTATCTGTTGCTTAGAGGTCTGTTAGTCCGTTATCTCTGAAAGTGTGTGTTTCTACCTCCGGTTTCGAAGTTTAGGTGATTGTGTCTGTCTCAGGGGCCACGTAGGACACGGCTGGGATTGTGCGTGTGGCTGAGTTCCCTTCAGCCAGGAGCGTCTGTGAGTCTCCTACGTTAATTACAGCGCTGTTCCTTTCACTCTGGGCATGTTTCCCATCCCGTGTGTAATAACCTCATGTTGGCTGATGTGAAATGTTGGGGTTTGGGAACAAACGGTCAAGAACGAATTCCTGAGACGTCTTCGGTGCAAAAGAGGTGGTTTTATTAAAGCCTGAGGACACGATCCGTGGGCAGAAAAAGCTGCACTGGAATTGTGAGTAGTGGCTGATCATATAGTTTCAATTCGGGAGGGGTTTAGGGATAGTTTAAGTCTCTAAGGAGTATGGGAGCAAGGTTTCCAGGACCTTGAGGGACTAGCTGTTGTTGGGAAAAGGTTATTTACTATTGTCTAGTAAAACCTCAGTCATGAGAGCCTTCAGATGTGTATCTGTGGGCCATATGCTTGGAGGATGATTGATAACATATATCCTGGTGAGGAGGGCGAGAGATAAAGGAAGTTTCCAAAGGGATTTTTATATGTTAA